AATCTCTTTAAGACTTTTGCTATTTTTCTGTTGAGTTGTCTGTCTTTTTATTAATTCATATTGAAGTTCTTTAAATAGCCTGTATAGAAGTCCATTGTAGTCTGAGAGAGTCTTTTTCACTCTCTTAAAAGTGTCCTTTTCACACAAAAACCTGTACAGGAATGTTCATAGCAGCTTTATTTGTAATAACCAAAAACTGGAAACAACTCGAATGTCCTTCAGTGGGTAAATGGTTAAACAAATTGTGGTACATCCATATAACGGAATAAAAGGAATGAACTATTGATAACATGGAACAACTTGGATAAATCTCAGGAGCATTATGCTGAAAGAAAAAAAGCTGGTCTCAAAAGTTTATTTTCTGTATGATTTTATTTATATAACATTTTTTTTTAAGATTTTATTTTTTCCTTTTTCTCCCAAAGCCCCCTGGTACATAGTTGCATATTTTTAATTGTGAATCCTTCTAGTTGTGGCATGTGGGACGCCACCTCAGCATGGCTTGATGAGCGGTGCCATGTCCGCGCCCAGGATTCGAACTGGCGAAATCCTGGGCCGCCAAAGCAGAGCGCGCAAACTTAACCACTCTGCCATGGGGCCAAGCCCCTATAACATTCTTAAAATGACAACTTTATTGAAGTACAATTTACATACCACAAAATGCGCGTTTAAATACACAACTCGGTGCTTTTTAATTTACCAAGTTATGTAACCATCTCTATAACCCAGTTTTACAGTATTTCCATCACTCTAGTGAGATTCCTTTTGCCCATTTGCTGTCACTCTAGTCCTCTCCTCCCAGCCCTAGGCAACCACTAATGTACTATCTGTCTGTATGGATAATGCCTTTTGTGGACATTTCATATAAATAAAATCATAAACCATATGGTCTTTTGTGTCTGGCTTCTTTCATGTTGCATAATGTTTTTGAGGTTCATCCATGGTTGTGCCATGCATCAATAATTCATTCCTTTCTATTGTTGAGTAGCATTACATTATATGGATATACCACACTGTGATTATTTATTCAATGTGGTTGGACATTTGGGATGTTTCCGGTTTTTGGTTCTCATGAATAATGCTTCTGTGAACATTCATGTACATATTCTTGTCTACACATACATTTTCATTTCTCTGGAGTAGACTCCTAAGAGTAGATTTGCTAGGTTGTATGGTAAATTTATGCTTAGCTTTTGAAAGAAACTGCCCAACGCTTTTTCCAAGGTGGCTGAACCATTTTGTAGTCGTACCAGCAATTCCCAGAGAATGTTCCATGTGTACTTGAAAAGCATGTGTATGTTGCTCATCTTGGGAGGAGTGTTTGGTAAATGCCAGCTAGGTCAGTTTTTTGGTAGTGTTGTGTAAATTTTCTAGATTCTTGCTGATTTTCTTTCTGGTGGTTGTATCTATTATCAAGAGTGGGATGTTGAGCTGTTAGTGTTGGATTGTCTGTTTATTCAGTTCTCTGTCTGTAGTTTTCAGTAGTTTGATTATGATGTGTCTGGGTGTAGATTTCTTTGTATTTATTATGTTTGGTCTTCCCTCAACCTCTTGGCAATTTTCAGCTATTTTTTCTTCAAATATTTTTCTGCATCACACTCCTTTTCTTCTTTGTATTAGATTCCAATTACACAAATGTTAGTTCTTTTATTCTTATCCTACAGGTCCCAGAGGCTTTGTTCCTCCCCCCACCCCCATCTCTTTCTTCCTGTTATTTAGATTGGCTAGTTTGTTTATCGATTTTCAAGTTCACTGCCTCCTCTGTTCCGCTATTCTGTTCTTCCAGTGAATTTTTATTTGGGTTATTTTATTTTCCATTCCTAAAGTTTCAATTTGATTATCCTTTATATCGTCTCTTCACTTTGCCAATACTTTCTATTTTAACTTTTCTTTCAAGAATGTTCAATTTTGGTGATTGCTCATTTGAGCATTTTTATAATAGCTGCTTTAACATACTTGTTAGTTTCAATATTTGTGTCATCTCATTGTTGGCATCTGTTGATTGTCTTTTCCTATATGAGTTGGCATTTTTGTGGTTCTTTGTATACTGAGTAATTTTGGATTTTATCCTGGACATTTTGAATATTATGTTATTAGACTCTGGATCTTATTTCAATCCAATGGAGAATGATGATATATTGGTTTTAGCAGCCAGTTGACCTGGTTAGGTTCAGACCACAAGTTCCAGCTCATTTTCTGTGGGCTGTAGTTCCAATGGCCGTTCAGCATTCAGTGCCCCTTTTGTTGTTGTTGTTGTTGTTGAGGAAGATTCACCCTGAGCTAACATCTGCTGCCAATCTTTCTCTTTTTGTATGTGAGCTGCCACCACAGCACGGCCACTGACAGACAAGTAGTGTAGGTCTGCGCCCGGGAACTGAACCTGGGCCACCAAAGTGGAGCATGCTGAACTTACCCACTAGGCCACCAGGGCTGGCCCTCAATGCCTTTTCAGTGCTATTCAGATCTGTCCCATGTGTGACACCCATGGTCAGTCTGGTACCTGACTGTTCATCTGTTAGCTCATTTCTCAAAGTCTTTGACATGCTAATTAGGATCAAATCCACACATGCAGAGAGGTTGGGGGGGGGGGTCACCCGAGTTGCTCATAAGTGGCTTTAAAGTTTGCTTTCCTCACTTCTTCCCTCTTCTTTGTTTCCATGGTGCTTTCTGGTTTCCTAGAGCTTTCCTTTTTCGTCTTCCAGTCAGAAACCACCCACTTTAACGATGCACTGCCTCTGGGGCACAAGGGGCAGGAAGGCAGAGAGAAAGTAAGAAAAAACAATGAGATTTGACTTTGCCCTTTTGGAGTTATAGCTCCACCAAATGAAATGGAAAGTTCTTCTCCCTCGAGAATTTTAACTTTCCCTCTCCCAATCACTTTCGTTGCTGCTGCTGCAGCCTCCACCATGGGATTTTCTGGGCATGAAAGAAGGGAGAAAAAGGAGAGAAAAACCCAGGGGATTTCCCCCTAGTCTCTCTGAGTTTTAGTAGTTCCCTTTTCCAAAAAAAGCACCTTGAGCCAGAACATGTGCTCTAACCACAGTGCTCACTTTCAGGTATTGTGTTGAGTTCAGGCCAGAGAATACTGGAAGGAAAAAAATAGTAAAGGCACTAACAGTTCATTCTTGGCATTCCGGTATTCTTCCCTGATCCACCTGCTGATATATGCTTTAAAGTGTTCTCTAATCGCTGCCCATGCATTCTGTACAGAATTTATAGTTGCATTCAGTGTACGTAAAGGTGGGTGTGTTTATTCCATCTTACCTGGAACTGGAAGTTTTAACTGATATTTAAGTGATGTTTTGGGTTAGTTTCCCCTCCTCCCCAAAGTATTTATATCTGAAATAATAGTTTCAGAGATGTAGTGTTTGGCGTAGTTAGTGGACAAAAGCTTCTAAGGATAAGCAGAGGAGCTACACTATTGGCAGAATGCATAATGACCTCCTGAAAAACAAAGCCAATTTTCCAAAGGCAATCTCATCCGGAAGTACAGCTCTTTGTCCTCATGCAGCATATCATTGACCTCGTTGTTTTCCTTGGCGCTGCCTTTCTGTCACATTCTCTTACTTCTGTCCTGCTGTTTTCCAGTAACCTTTGCCCCCAGGACTTCATTCATCAACCCCTTTCTCCTCCTCCCTCCTCTGTTTGTCTCTGGTTTCCCCCACACTCTCTCCTTCCTAACATTACAGTCTTAATTTTATCACTAGAGTCTGTCTTCCAAGGATAATTACACTGCCCTGTGACATCTTAGGATGTAAGTGCTTGCACTTGAAGGATGGAGAAGCTAGGCTGGAGAGGTGGGGGTGAGTAATCAGCTTTTGCTCATAGGTTAGGACCAGACCTGAGTCTCTGCAAGGCATTGTGGTGGTCTAGCCAGCCACTTTTCCAGCATATTAGGGCTTTTTCTCTCATACAGTATTTCTGGTGGTAATGGGGCAAGGCCACATGAAGCTCCAGCACAGCCAGGAATATGTGTCTAGAAAGAAAGTGGTATTCAAGCCACACTGATTTCATTAATTTGGGAATAGATCAGAGCCCTCTCAGCTATTTTTTGATTTTGTTTTGTTTGTTGTTAATCTTGAAATTTAATAAGAAACTACTAAATAATAGTTACTTTTTATGTATTTCCTATTGTTAGCTATGTGATACAGAATCCCTGCAGGAGGGAGATCCTAAATGGGCAAAATTACATGGGCAAAAAGCACATGTTTTTATGTTGTAGCATGCTTTCAGTATTTTTATGATGGAAACATACGTTCCTTAAAAACCACAGTGGACTTCCCAGGTGTCTATTTAGATCCATCAGGTTCCAGGCATGTAAGGCTGCTCAACTCATAACCTTCTGGGCGTATATTAACTATGTACAGATAAAAACTTGTTGGTGTGAAAGACATGGTACCTTTTGGAAAGAAAATCCTCAGGTACAGCATGCTGTCTCATTTACTCCTGCTAAAATCCAGTGTCTTCTTGGCTGGGAGCAGGGCAGCAGTAGGAGGCTGCCTGAATTCTGAGCCCACTGTTTTTATGCCAGACTGACCCTCCTCACACAAGGACAGGTCAGTGATACTCGTTTCCACTGCTAAGACTTTTATTTTTTCTTTTGGCAGTAGCCAAAGCAACTGGTTACAAAGAAAACACACTCATTATTCTTACTCTTTCATTTTACAAATATTCATTTCAGTGGGATGTTTCAGTGGAGATCTCTTTAGCAGTGGGAACAATTTGACTTTGGTACTGGAAGAACAGCTAATAAGTCACAGAAACAGTGATTAAATAGTCAACAGTTCTACAAATAATACCAATTTAATTATGTGCATGAAGTTGACCAAAACATGGGAATTAAAGCTAGCTTTATTCAAGGCCAGTATAATTCTTGTGACCCCCTGCCAATAATAATTTTCAGGCCCGATTAAGTGAATTATTTCTTACTGATTATGAAATATTTCCAGGTAACACCATCAAAGGCTGTATTGAATTCAGATTGTTTCATTATTTTTTAGAGCTTGTCCTGGGATAACTGTGCTGCATTTCCCAGAGCCTGTGAGCTCTAAACTGAGAGGTTCTGGTCCAAGGTTGATGGAACCTGAGAAGTGGAAGGACCTTGGAGATCACCAAATCCAGGTACCTTCCCAGTGCAGGAATCCTCTCTACAATATTCTGTCAGACAGGAAGTTGTCTGACTCTTGACTACTTTTTCCCCCCAAAGAATACATATTTTTCCTCCATCCATGTTTGAGGCTACTCACTCATCTTTCCATGATAGGTCGTTCTTTATTCCCAAGCCAAGGTCTGCCTCCCAGGAACTCTTGCCATTGTTTCCAGCTCTTCTCTCCATAGCCACACAGAGTAAATCTCCTTTGTCCAAAATAGTTAAAGCCATCTATTTTCTACTTCCCATTCCCCTTTCTCCCACCTGTGATTTCTTAGATTAAAAAATTCCTGGTTCTTTCGACAGCTTCTTTCGAGGATTTTAATGCAGTGGAAAAATTCAGAGAATAATATAATGAACACTCGTATTTTCCACCAGCCAGAATTATCAACAATTAAATTTTGTCATATTTTTAATTTTCTTAAATAAAGGAATTAAAACATTACAGAAATGATTATTTCCCCTTTGATCACCCCTTCTAGTGTCATCTTCCTCCCGCCTCCCAGTTTTCATGCATAAATAGGTATGTATAAACAACATATAGATTTGTTTTGGATCTCTTTTAATTTACATAAATGGTATTATGAATGTGTCTGTGTGTTTTCTCCACACAGCAAAATGTCTTAGATCTTTTCATATGTTTTGTATTAATGTTTCCATAGTTTATATTGTATTAGTCATTATATATAACATAACATATTTTGGGCTGTCTGCCATCTGGACATATGGCAGGATTGTAGTTCATGCCCCTTTTGAAGTTAGGTGTGGCCATGTACTTGGTGTGCTCAATGAAATGTCAGCGAAAGTAATGGGTGCACTTCTAAATGGGAGTTTTAAGAGCCAGTATGAGATTTACCATGTTTTATTCCCCTGGCAAATAGAGATGGGGCCTCTGTCAGCCTGGGCCTGAGAATAACTACATTGAGCTTTCCTGCCAACTCATTTTAAACATGTAGTGTAGGAATAAATAGACTTTAGTTGTGTTAAGCCACTCAGATTTTAGGCTCCTTTTGTTACTTTGGCAAACTTAGCCCATCCTGATTGATAAGTAGACCTACATCATTGTAGGTGCTGCAAAGTTTCGCAGTGTGTAAATAGGTCTTATTCTGTCTAGCTGTTCTCCTAGTGACAGAAGCTAAGTACTTCCTAAAATTTGCTTTTATAAGCAATTCCATATTGGCAATTGTGTAAATTTTTGAGTGTTTCTCCAGGATATGTATCTAGAAATAGGATTGCTGGGTCACAGAATATGGATATTTTCGGTTTTACAGAATGCTGTCTTTGCTATCCAAACTGGCTGTACCAGTTTACATTCTCACCCTTTCAGCTGTCATTTGTGTGACATGATTCCCAAACCTTTTTCTAATCTTGGTTCCCCTCTCTGGATTCACTTTTGTTGGTCATTGTTTCTCTGTGATGCTCAGACTGGAACTTAGTTGTCCAGTTGTTGGCTGACTGAGGTAGACGGTATTTTTCCAAATTCAGCCCAAGTTGAGGAGCTGTGGTATTTGGTGGCACCAAAAACTGACCTGCTATCATCTTATATTTAGGGAACAGGGTTTTTAAAATTGCAGTGGCTTTACATATGTTCTAGTTAAATTTCATCCTGTTTTTCTTTGTCATGTTAGCTTTTGAATTTTTCCCTTTCCCCTGATGAATGTTATCCCTCCTAAGTCAATCATCCTAGGTTCATCTATTTTCCTGATCAAAGTTTTGATCAGCACAGGGCCACGGGTATAGCTCTGTGTCCCACAAGACACCTTTCAGGTTTGCCTGCCTATAGCCTGGATTCTTCATCTTCTCAACTGGAAAATCCTGATAGCCTTTGTGAGCTGCCTCCACATATACTATACCTATAAATAATTACCTCAATAAATGAATTGAGTGACTGGAATAGAAAGGAGTCTTGGTTAAGTTGGATGTGTCCTGATTTTAGAGAGCCTGTGCTGGCTGCTAATGACAATTTTTTTTCTTTTTCAAGTGCTCATCCAACCACTGCTTTATTAATCTGGTCTAAAATTTAGTTTAGAGTGAAATTCAGACTTTTTATTTGTTAATGATTATACTCTACCCCTTTGAAAATAAAAGAGATTTTTGCTTCTCTCCAGCCTATTGTGAAGTCTGGTGTCTGTGAGTTTTCATAGACGAGAGGAAGTGATTCTGCTGTCATAGCTGCAAATAGTCTTTTAGCCCTGAGGAGAGGAACAAGGTAGTTTTTAGGGTTATGACCAGCTAGGATGCCGTGCTCTACTCCCCAGCCAGGGTGTCTTTTCTCCTTGTACCAGAATCAAACCTGGTCATAGTTCAAGGAAGTATAAGGACTCTCTAAGCCAGTAGCTTGGATCATTACAAGTTAGGCTTGCTGGTGGTCTTTCTCTTGTTCTTTGGGACCAATTACATGTCTAATTCCAGTTAGTATTTTTGTATTAGGATTGTATTAGGATTCTTAGTTACGTGTGTCAGAACCCCAACTCAATTTAGCCAAAGAAAGTTTACTGTTAAACGAATAGCCCATGGACTACTGCCTTTAGGAATGGCTGCATCCTCACACTCATTGCAGCCCTGAATCTCCTCACCTCGCCTTTCCTCTGAGTTAGTTTCACTGTCAGGCAGGCTATCTGCAGCAGATGCAGTGCCCCTCTCCCAATACTTCCGTCAAAACCATTGGATGACTTGTTGATCTAGCCTGGGTCATGTGCCTTAGACCCAGGAGGTGTGTATCTGTTCTGGCGTGGGGACAGAGATTGCCTTCACCCAGACCACATGGACCACTCATTTATTCCTCTTCCATACATTTGCTGAGTGCCCACTATGTGGTAGGCACTGTGTTAAGCTCAGGGGTTATCACAGTGAACAACACAGGCATGGTCTCAGCCTTTTTGAAGTAAGTATTAAAAAAATGGACTTTAATCTGCTCACAGTGATAAAGGAGAAGTTAGTGGTGCTGGAAGGCAAATGACAGAGGTTCTGAGGTACTCTGGGGCAGGTAGGGGAAGGCTGCCCTGAGGAGGTGTCATTTGGATTGAAATCTGACATGAGTAGGGCTTAGCTATGTGAAGTTGGTAGGATGATGATGAGCGATCTAGGGGTGGGGTGGGGAGGTGGAATAGTATGCACAGAGTCTTGGAGGTAGAAAGGAGCATATTCCAGGCACTGAAAGGAGGCCAGGATGGTTGGATCACAGAGACTGAAGGGGCAGAGAGGCACAAGTGGGACTGGAGAAGTAGGTTGGCACCACCTCTAGCAAGGCCACATGGCTTGTAAGAGGTTTGGAAGCCATACAAAGTTTAAGCAGGGAATCGGTGATTAATAGCCCTGGTTCATGTAACTCACTATCTGGTATCTAGCTTAGTCTAGTTAATTAACTAACCAAGATCACTTACCTGGTTGGGACTTAAACTAGGGATGCTGCAATATCTGGCATGTGTCCAGACCTGGCTCAGGCATTGCCTCTCCCAGGAAGCAGTCGTCATTGCTCCTTCCTTCCTGCCACTGGGAGAGGGTGGGTTTTGCTCCATTCCTGCTCCCTTTACCCTGCTCAGAGAACTATCATGATTTTGTTTACCCCATCCAGGCCTGGGCAGGACATGTTGGTTTGGTGCCCAGCCAGGCTAATGATTGTCATCTCTGCAAAAAAGTGTTATCATTAGCAGGCCTGACTTTGAAAGGCCCGCTTACAAGGTTGTCCTTTGGCTGGCATCTGGGAACTTGATTTTGGGGAGGGTTCCCACCATTCCCAGAACTGGTAAGGGTGGCTCATTGTGCCTCAACTGTTTATACAAATAGTGTGGTTTCTTATGAGTATCTGCTTTCCTTTTTAGAGTCTAGAATTCGGGTATTTGCCAATCACAGGGTGCCTATGTGACCAGCCTCCAGTCAAAACCCTGGGCGCTGAGTGTCTAATGATCTTCCTTAGTAGACAACATTTCATGTGTTGTCACAACTGTTGCTAGGGAAATTAAGTGCATCCTGTGAGACTCCGCTGGGAGAGGACTCTTGGAAGCTTGTGCCTGGTGTCCCCTGGATTTCACCCTGTGTGCCTTTTCCCTTTGCTGATTTTGTTTTGTATCCTTTCAGTGTAATAAATCATAGCCATGAGTATGATTATATACAGAGTTCTGCGAGTCCTCCTGGTGAATCACAGAACTTGGGGACCCCTGACACAGCACCCTTGCAGAACCATTGTTAAATATTTGTTCAACACTTACTCAAAGGAAAGAGTGAGCCTGGTGGGCAATCAGGGCAGAGAAAGGAGCTCTCTAGTGGTGGCACTGCTTCTCCTCTCCTTTTAAGCAGTCAGCTTTGGTCCTAAACTTGTACTGTCCACTCTACTAAACTGCAGTCCTGCAGGGGGCTACAAGGGAATCTCAGGAGTATCATGATCAGATTTGCATTTTTGGAAAGAATAAATGCCCAAGAATCATCAGGAAAACTTGTGAGGAGAGTTTGCTTTACCAGATTAAAACTTACTGCAAAGCCGCTATAATAAAAATTGTATGGTAACGGACTAGAACTTTGATCTAACACCCAGGTTTCCCAAATTCCAGCCCAAGTTCCTTCATCGAATCTTTACTGAGTTCTTCGATGGGCCCTGTGTAAGAGTGAACAAATGAAACGCAGTTCCTTCTTGACTTTACTTCTGAGACAGGTCATGCAGAAAACAAGCATCACTTATACTGTCTGCAATGGAACCCTCTGAACTTGTTTTTAGGTGTTTGTAATGCTGTCAGCTGTCAAAGTAGGAGTGTGGGATTCTGAATTCAGAACCTGGGAAAAACAGTAAGTAAACAAAGAACTTTTTACCAGTCTCCTGTGAATTGCTGATATTTCAAATCACTGCATGTTAATAGTATAAGGATAATCTTGGCACTTTTAATTTTTATAGTTTTTCTGTTGGAAAAAATCAAATATTCCTGTCTCTACAATCTGCCACCATTGTTTTGTCTTTCTTTACGTGTCAAGGCTGATGTTTCCTGAGGGAGAACTTAATTAGACTGTGCAATAATCTTTTTGAGAAAATAGAGAAAATCAGTTATTTAAAACACACTGGATGAATGATCTTATTTTTTAAAAAAACCTTTGAAAAAGGAAAACATCCTGTACTGAGGGAACAGAGGTGGGATGACGGAGTTTTGCTTGTCTTTGTTTTGCATTTCTAACAGTAAACTTGAAAGCACAGGATCTTCTGACCATTGAAGCTGAAATTATGTATTCAGTGTTTCTCATGAGATAACATTTACCATAAAAAAGACTGCATTTATACTTGTCTTGGGTAATTCTAAAAATTTCTATGTAGAAAATTCTAAAAATTTTAATGTGGAAAATTCACCAGTTCCAGACCCACACAAGCACACAAAAGCATTACATTGATTACATGTCTGTGTATTAGCTGATTCCTGAAATGGTGTCTCAGAAGGATTAAAATTGAGCCTCTGTTCGGAGCACGTGGTGTTGACTGTGGCCTGGGAGTGTGCCAGTTAGTCCCAGCACCTGCGCCTCCTCACAGGGTCTTCCTGCTGCTGCCCAGAAAAATGGAGGGGAGCTGCCTCACCACTCCAGCCACACACGCAGGGCTAGGAATCCTGCCTAGGAGGCTTTTCCTGCTCTGACCGACAAGAGACCTGGAGAGGATAGTCTAGCCAGCTGGCTGCAACTCTGGGGCGGGAAAAAAGGAAGAAATAAGAATAAAATCAAGCCCCGCCCCCCACCCACCCACCAAGCCCACGCTGACAGTAATAATCAGATGGCTTTTTGTCAGCAACCTCCTCTTGAATTAAACAACATTCAGGAATCCTGGATGTGATGGCCTATTTGCAGTGTGTAAATGGAACATGGGAAGAGGGTGCTCAGATCTGACCCAGAAATTTGAGATGTAGGTGAAGAGACCTAATACCCCACTGGGGACTCACAGGCCAATTACCTTGAGTCTGGTAAGTGGAATACAACTCCTAAAGGAAACTAGGTGTTTTGAACTAGGAAATAATATATGTATAGGCAAGGCTTCCTGTATTTCTTTGTTTATTGTAAGTCCTCAAAGGTTCATAGGAATTAAGGTTCTCCAGAGTGTGCGAGAGCTTTGGAGACAAAGGGAGAGAAGCAAAGGAAAGAGTCTTTTCTTTTTTTACTTACTTTTGTTCATGAGCAAAATCCTGCAGTATTCAATTGAACCGTTGCTGATATTCAAACATTTTGATCTACAACAATGGCAATTTCATGTGGTTTAACCTAATAATAACTAATTTTGCCACACACTTTGAAAATATTCTCAGTTTACTATTGTATTGGGCTTAACTTCAGAAGGGGAAGGATCTCATAAATTCTTAGAGTCTTATTCTTTATAATAATTTGTGACATGTCCATCACTTATCGAACTGGTGTTTTCTGTAGCAGCCCTATTGAGGTATAATGGATATACAGAAACTCCACATTCACTGTACACAATTTGATGAGTTTGGACATATGCATATACCTGTGAAACCATCATCACAGTCAAGGTAATAGACATATCCATCACCTCCAAAAGTTTCCTTGTGCCTCTTGTGTGTGTGTAGTAAGAACACTTAGCATGAGGTCTACCCTCTTAAATTTTTAAGTGCACAATACAGTATTGTTAATAGGCACTATGTTGCACAGCAGATCCCTAGAACTTACTCCTCTTGCATAACTGAAACTTTATACTCATTGAACAATTCCCCATTTCCCCCTCCTCGCAGCCCCTGGCAACCACCATTCTATTCTCTGCTTCACTGAGTTTGACTGTTTTAGGTACCTCATCTAAGTGGAATCATGCAGTATTTGTCCTTCTGTGACTGGCTTATTTTACTTAGTATAACGTGCTCCAGGTTCATCTATGTTGTCGAAAATGACAGGATCCCTTCTTTTCTGAGACTGACTAATATTCCATTGTATGTATATACCACATTTTCTTTAACTGTTCCTCTGTCAGTGGACATTTGGGTTGTTTCCATATCTTGACTGTTGTGGATAATGCTGCAATGAACATGGGAGTGCAGATATCTCTCCGCGGTCCTGACTTCAATTCTTTTCGATGTATATGGCCAACAGTTATATGAAAAGGTGCTCAACATCACTAATAATCAGGGAAATGCAAATCAAAACCACAATGAGATATTACCTCGCATTTGTTAGGATGGCTATTATATATATTAAAAGAAAAGATAGCAAGTGTTGGTAAGGATGTGGAGAAATCAGAACTCTTGTAGACTGTTGCTGGGAATATAAGATGGTGCAGCCACTATGGAAAACAATGTGGAGATTCTCACAAAATTAAAAATAGAACAACCATATGATCCAGCAATCTCAATTCTAGGTATATATCCAAAAGTAGTGTTTGTTTTTAACTTGGATATTCTTGAGAGAGAATCCCAAAGAAATCTAAAACGCCGTTCTCTTAAATACAATGGTATTGTGATCCATGTCTTAGTAGACTGGAGTAGCCTCGAATTTTTAATTCATTTCTGTCCCGGTACCTGATTCACTAGGCCTTCTTACGCAGTCATTAGGCATGACTACAAACAGTTGCTATTCCACCATTTCATAACTTCATCCTCAAAATGCATGTTGCAGGCCAGCTACTTACTACCTTACTCAGAATGTTTTTGGAGCTCTCCTTTTTGGAATTACCTTCAGAGCCGTTTTTTTTTAAACGATCAATTTTTATTAAACCTCAACCCTTTTTTTTTTAAGATTTTATTTTTCCTTTTTCTCCCTAAAGCCCCCCGGTGCATAGTTGTATATTTTTAGTTGTGGCATGTGGGATGCTGCCTCAGCATGGCTTGATGAGCAGTGCTAGGTCCGTGCCCAGGATCCGAACCAGTGAAACCCTGGGCCACCGAAGCGGAGCATGGGAACTTAACCACTTGGCCATGGGGCCGGCCCCCGTTCAGAGCCATTTTATAAGCCACCTGAGGAATTGATTATTCACTTCATTCATTCCTTGGGTATTTATTTGAGGTAGGTACAGTGTTGGGCACTGTATCAGGTACAGGGACAGATGACATGGACATAGCAGGTGGTCCATGGGAGGAGTGTGAACAGATGCATGCACGCGAGAAAGCACCAGGACATGTGAGTGGGGAGGAATGAGGGGCTCAGCTTCCTAGAGAAAAGACTATGCAAGGAAAATAAAACTAGAAAGATGAGCTGTGGCCACATTGTAGAGTGCCTTGGATACTAGGCCTAGGAGTTTGAAATTTGTGCTGTGAGCTGTAGGAAGCCATTAAAGGTTTTTGTGCTTTTAGAGTTTTAACCTGACAGCTAATGACAGTGGAATTGGAATTATCAGTCAGCTTTGCAATTTACTGTCCCAGCTTGTTACTGACTAAAACTAGTTTTACACACCTCAATTGTGTCTTCACTTGAATGGACTTTGAATAACATTTGATTGTTTCCAAAATTAAATTCCCTCTCAGAGAAAAAATTTGCTTCCATTGACCTTATTTAAAGAAACATGTTATGCCAAAGGGAACAGAAAGCAAATCCAAGCAAAAAATGTCCTAAGTATTTTGAGAAATTGCATTGTTGGAACAAACATTTGCTACCTCAGAGGGTCTCTTGCAAGTCAGCCTATAATTGGATGTGTAAATTCTCGCATATTTTTTAATGACTTCGTACTTACATGTGTATAATTAATCTTTTGAGTTGGTATCTGCTCTGCCTTTACTGGCGTGCACTGAAGGGTAACCGTGCAGATAAAGAGGATGGGGATTATAACTAAAAAGAATAAGGATTCTAATAGCAATGCTAAGTTCTCTTCAGGTGAGATGTTAGGGGTGTAGGATGTGTTAATGTGACATTCTAATTAACTGCTGATTGCAGGTGCCACTCACCTCTGGCCTGAGGAGGTACCTTATGGCTGCCTTGGCATCAAGTAGGTTGAGAAACTTGCAGATAGAGTGACATTTGCTATTTGTATGTCTACTATTACAGATTTCTTCTTTTAGGCGAGGTATTTGACCCCTCTGTGACCTTGGTATTAGCTAGAATGCCTTTCTTAGTGGAGCCCAGCAGCAGTGCCTGCTTTGGAAAATTATTCGATGTTGAAAGTGATTCAGTGTACTAGGACTGAGGTATGTGATGAAATTTCCATTCTGTGGTTAATCATTAAAAACTACCTTCTAAATTCCATCAGTTAACTATTCCTGTATACTTAGCCGCTTCGAAAGTTAGTGGCTCAAAATAGTAATTATTTATTCAGTTCATTATTCTGTGAGCCATTTGGGCTGGGTTCAGCTGAATGGTTCTGCTGTTCTTAGCTGGTCTCCCTTATGCCTGTGGTCAACTACAGGTCAGCAGGGAGCTCTGCTTCTGAGGTTGTCTGGCTGTCAGCTGAGGCAGTGGTACGGGGTAGGAGCATTAGGCTATACATCTGCTACCCTGCAGCAGGCTGGCCCAGGCTTGTTTTTATGGTAGCTGGGCAGGTTTCTAAGACTGAATAGAAGCAGCAAGGCCTCTTGAGGCCTAGACTCAGAACTGGCACACCATCAGCCCTGTTGCGTTCTGTTGCTCTAAGCAAGTCACAAAGCCAGTTCAGATTCAAGGAGTGGAAACAAGCTTCAAAGTCACTTTGAAAGGGCATAGATAAAGAAAAGGGTGAAGAATTGGGGGCATTTTTGCTACCTATAACATAAATACAGATTTCTTAAAGGCTTCAGTTACTCCTGTAACATTTAAAAACTCATGTGTTCTGTATATTTAAAGTTAAAGACTGATCAGAAACAACTAGGAAAATATTAAAATTGTTCACAAGTCAGGGCCTT